TCAGCAACTTTTTCAGGATTTTTCAAAAGATCAACACCAAGTGCTTGCCCTGCCGCATTATAATTACATGGCCATGATAGTTGAAACCATCCACGACCGTAGTATTGTTTACCAGGTTCGGCTTGTACTGGTGGACACCAGGAATCTTGATAATCATTAGCACATGTACCTGATTGTCCACAATATTCTTCATAAGTTTTTAAGCCATCTGTTTCATGAGATACATGTGCAACAAACATTATAAGTTCATCACGATTTTGTGCTTGAAATGGTGCCATCGGTAATGCCTCTTGAAGACCTAAACGATGAAGAACAAGTTGGCTATTGAAATTGAGGATCTGATGTTTTGTTTTTCATTTTAAATTTGTCAGAAATAAGATCCTGTTATATATTTTTCTGAAGAACTATTTCGAAAAAAACTCCCAAGTCATTCGTCAATAATATGTTTGATAATTTCATAGTTCGTAAAATATATTTACCTTGCCAACGTTTGTCGCGAACACTTGAATCTAATTGATCAAATATACAATCGAATCGTTCACGAGTGAGTGAAGTATCGTTAGCACCAACTTCAGGTTTATTGTTGCAATATTCGGATGTACTACCACAACTGTATATACAACAAGATAAGAAATAAAATTCCACTTTTATTATTATTTAAAAATAAAGTGAATCAAAATTCAAATAAAAATGCTACTTACTATCCCCATTTTGAACAACAAAGACCAGGTGCACATGTTGGCGAACATCGGCCACTATCAGTGCAATGAAGTGGTGTATCACCACAACTGAACGTAAATAAATATTTAGGTCACGATTGAATAAGAAGACGAAAGACAAACCACTTACAATCCCCATTTTGAACAACAAAGTCCGGGTCCGCATGGTGGTTGACACAGAACATTATAAGTATCATTCTGCTGATTGGCACAGTGAAGCGGTGTATCACCACAACTGAACGTAAATAAATATTTAGATAACGATTGAATAAGACGAAAGACACTTACAATCCCCATTTTGAGCAGCAGAAACCAGATGCACATGGTGGTTGACATAGAGTATTATAAGTATCATTCTGCTGATTGTCACAATGGAGTGGTGTATTACCACAGCTGGTGTGAAAGATAAAACAATTAAGATTTAATTTCGTTATTAAATAATAGAAACTGACGTCAATATCTAACAAGTACTTACAATCCCCATTTCGAACAACAGAAACCGGATGCACATGGTGGCTGACATAGAGCACTATAAGTATTATTTTGTTGACTGGCACAGTGAAGTGGTGAATCACCACAACTAAAAGTTAGAAATAAATGATCACTTCATTGT